GTGTTCCATCTGGGGTGAGTCCTGATTTCTGCCACTTTGCTTCCCAGCTCCTTGACCGTGGATACAAGGATTCAGCCCCTTCCCAGCCCTTGGCCGCTCCTCCGAAATGCAGGTGACAGCAGCACTGACTAGTGCAGTGAGGACCAGAGGTACAGGTGCCTGGGCCACATAACGTGCAGTAATGGCAGTTTTTCATTCATCAAATATTAAGGATCTAGGTCCTATGTGGGGAGCCATGGTTACAGGTAGTTCAGAGCCTTACAGACTGGCTCAGTTAATGCTTAACCTGTTTCTGCTCCTAAGGCATTGTCTCTGCCTACACCTGGAGGGTGCTTACAAGTTGCTGAGGTATGTGGTGAGAACGGCCAGTTCCTTAGGAGACACTATAGATAGATGGCTATCTGGGCTAATGGAAGAAAGTGTCCTGGGAAGCTAATCCCCTAAGGTCCCTCTGATCTTTAATCTCCAGTAGATAGTTAATGATCTGCTTCTGAATGAGGTAATGCGTAGTTGTACAGCAGTGTTGCACGTACTCAAACTGCATAGATTGGTGATGGGAAATAAACTCGGGGCTTCAGCATCACTGAAGACCGGCCGCATCAGCATTTGTGTGAGTGTCTCTTTATTCATTCCCACTCCCCACTTCGGGTACTGATTGACTTGTGGCGGCTGGCCCGCCATAGTCCTGGGCAGTTCTATGCAACAGGAATGCAGTTATAACCCCAAACTGACTGAGTCCCTGCTTGTCCAGAGCCCCCGAGGGGAGAAGGCTGACCTGGAACCCAAGGCTAACCAGGCAGAGTCCAGGAGCCGTAACTCCAACAGCCACTGGGAGATCAAGGGTGAGCCCAGACTGATCAGATATGAACATGGAAGAACCAACCAACGTGCTGTTTTTATTCAAGTCTTGTTACAAAAAACGAGAATGCATAAGCAGAATTAGGAAGGACCCCCGCCGCCTGGCTTCTGTGTGAACGGGCAGCCCCGCTCCCTCAGTCCCGCGGGGTCCCTCAGGGCAAGGCAGCCTGGTGGCTTTGCACAGGAGGCCGGCCTGAGGGTGGGAATCTGGACTTCGCTAGTAATGTCCACTCAGAGCCCTCCCCACTTTAAACAGCAGGCTCGGGTGAGGTCTGACACCACGCATCCTCCCTGCCCCACTGCTAGGTCAACAGGCCAAACTGCCCTGGAAACTTCCTTCCACCAGCTGGCCGGGCAGGTTGTAAACAGAAGTGACTTGAGGAAGAGTGGGTCACCCCAGAAATGGGAGAACTACTTTCCCCTCGTGCTCCTGGGTGGGCTGTCCCTGTGCCGATGAGGCTCCCAAGGAGGCCACAGTGGTCCCCAAGCAGAAACCAAGGCTGAACAGAGCGAGCCCAGAGGGGACCACCAAATTTTGTCCCTAAGATCCTAGGGGCCCTGAGGGAAAGTGGGGAGAGACTCAGGCATGCTCTGTGGGGCCAGGGCCGCTGGCATGGGAGTGAGAAGGGGCTGCAGCCGGCAGGGGCCCAGCACTGGGCTCCGGGGATGCCAGCAGAGGGGCCGAGAGGCCATCAGCGGTGTCTGTGTCGAGGTCCAGCCTCCAGTAAGCTTCGCACAGGGGCAGATCATTAGCTTCGCAAAGACTCGAGCTTTTCCACCACCAGAAAGCCAGGGAGAGACAGGAGCAGGCAGAGATGGAAGCCAGGGGAGGGAAACGTGAGACAGAAGCAGAGGTAAGAAAACAGACCGCACCTGCCTCTCCCCTCCTCTCTTCTGAGCTGGCCCCTGTCAAGCAGGCTTGGCTGAGGGGGAGGCACTGGGGGCCACCCTGGCTTCAGGGTCCTTCAGCATACTAAAGTGGGGAGCCTTCCAGGACCAGCCAGTGAGGGTCTGTGCGACCTCAGTAGGTCCCTCCACTGATCACCCAGGTATCTGTACTGTCACATGGCTGTCGTAGCCCCTGCTGCCACCTCCCTTCCTGGCTCCAGCTTCACTGGCAGTGGGAACCAATGTGCGAAGCTCTGTGTGGTCTCTCCATGGTCTACATTTTGCAAGGAGGGCAGAGACCCTCTTACTTCCCAGTCTGCTGCTGGCTGGTACTGAGCCCGAGTGCGGTGACAGGAACAGAGGCCTCGGGGTCCTGTCCTGCACCATTGACCAGCTGTGCGACCTCAAACAGGCTCCTTGAACAGTTTCCCCATCTCTAACACCACTGCTGGAGCTTGGGGTGAGGGTGCAGGTGAAGGGCACGGCTCCCGAAGCTCGCCGAGGGGACCCTCTAGCGCACGGACCAATCCCTCAGTTGTCACTCGTCTAACTGGCTTTCTCCCACGTCCTACCCTGACTGTCGTTCCCTCCCTTGCTCCTGCCCTCGGCGTTCAGTCTCAGAAACCGTCCTGGGCACAGAGCGGTGTCGCAAGGACAGCAGAGGGCAAGAGGCAGAGAAAGAGCAAATCATGAGCGGAAAGCATGCAAGCAAGCGTGGAGATGGCCTGCGGGGCAGCAAGGCCTCGGGGGCTGGAGGGTGGGCTGAGAGCTGGGGGCTCGGGTCGGGCACACGCTGGAGGGGCACACAACCTGCATGCCCCGGCTCAGCGGAGTCCTGGCCACTTACAGGCATCACAGACGAGGGAGGAACTCGGCCTCCTGAGGCACCAGGGACAGCCAGAGGGGCCACCAGGCCAGCCCAGAACCCCTTTGGTGAACACAGCCACACACACAGACTGACAGGGCAGGACATGCGTGGGAAGCCTGGTGTTCAGCCCTCATGGGTTCCCCCTCAGCCCTGCTGAGTGACTTGGGGAAGGTCCCCTCCCCTCAGCCCTCAACCTCAAGAGACAGGGCTGAATTGCGGTCCTATAGCTGCTCAGTTCAGAGGCCTGGTCTTTAGGGGTGATGGGGATAAACAGGGATGTGAGGGGGTTCTGCAAAACCAGCACCGTGAGCCACATCCCCAGCAGGGTCTAACCCCCCCGGGGACTCGCTCAGGACACTTCTCCAAAGGCCTGATGGTAGGAGGCAATTGCCACATGTCTGCTGAGCCGATGGGTATCAGGGACCAGAGGCAGCCCCAGAAAACTCTGGAAAAATCTAGAACCGCTCCAACTGGGCAGTGACACTGTCCCTTCCCACAGAAGCCAAGATGGACAGGGACCATGAGGAGCCACTGAATCCAAGCCCCAAACCACAGACAATGCTGGCTCTGGGCATCTGTGGCCCCTAGCATGGCTTCATGGGACAGAAAGAAACATGTAAAACCTACCACAGGGAGGGCAGGTTTGTCCAGCGAGGGCACAGGGGGCACGGACTCCGTGTGCTGCACTGAGTCTTGATTTTCTAAGCTAATGGGGATGGAGGTGTAAGGCCTCCCTGGCTCCAGCCTCAGTTTCCCCCTTAGTAAATGACACTCAGATTTCTCAGGGCCCCTCTAGCTCAAATGGCCTCAGGCTCCAGGATTCTAAGTGGCCCCATGAGAGTTGGGGTGATGGGTCTTGCCCAGTTATCCCGGGGGCCCAGCACGGGCTCCATGGACGCAGCTGAGCGGAACAGGAACTGGGTGGTCCAGGTTTCCCGGGCCTGGCTTTCAAGGCCGTCCTTCGCTGGGCTTTTTCCCCCTCCTCCTTCCCAGGACTCCGCCCCATCCCTTCCCCACACACTGCGGGTTTGGTGATGCCCACATGGAATTACTTCCCTAGGGAAGCACCGATGTCCTGGACATGGGCCTGGGGGCCAAGAGGAGCTACGCCTTGGCTGGAATGTCTAAATATTGATTAAAAAGCTAAAAGGAGAAGACAAGTTCAAAAATAGGCAACCGGCACCCCAGGCAGGAATGCGGGCTCTGCCCTCCCAACCCCTTGAAGCTCTGTCATTTTCATCCTGATGCCCAGGGCCCGGTGGATGGTATACATTGTCTGCTGATCAAACGCTCTGACCATGAGCTCTGCTCTGAAACCAGGCAGGGTTTGGAAAAACAGGCCCTTCGGGGCTGCCAGGTCCGGCTGGGCCGTACCTGCTGGCCGGGCCCAGGTCCACAGGTCCGCTCTGCTTGGGGTGCAGCCCTATTTGTACCTGGACGAGTAATATTCCTCCTCCAGCTCGTAGAGGTCAATGGAGATTTCGTCCCGCAGGGTGATGAGCTTCCGGTCGCACTCCTCCTGCAGTGCTCGCAGCTGCTGGTTGCGCTGGTCGATGGCCTCGTTCACCGAAGGGAAGTCGTTGAGAATGAGGAACTGCTTGAGGTCAGACACCAACTTCATCAGGGACTCACCAGCTCGGACCTGCGGCAGTCGGAACCGGGGCAGGCAAGTGAGGCCATGACAGCGCCTTGCCTCCATGTGCCGGATGCTGACCAAAGCAATGGCTTCAGTTTCCTCATCTGCAAAGGGGCTACGGCACTGACCTTCACAGGGTCGTTGTGAGAAGTGGGAGAGCTAGCAGTTAAGTTACAGGAAGGCAGGGTCCCCAGCACCCCCTTCGACTGCATGAAACCTTGGCAAGCCAGGGAGCTAGCAGGTACCATCAGCTCCCCAGTCCCTATGTTCATTTGGCCCCTGGCTTCTGACCTGGTGGTTCTGATCTCATTCTGGGTCTCAAAACCTCCAACCCCACAGATAAAGCTAGCACCCCGTTTAGCCACCTGCCCTGCCTTCCCTCGGGCAGCACGCCTGGCAGCGGGGGACATTCCTCTGGGACCTTTCCTATGCGTTTTTACCTGTGGGCACACACCTTTGGAAATATTTGGTTGATGTGCTTGTTCTGTGACATCAGAAGGGACCAAAATGCACATCCTGTTTCATTTGGTGATTTGCATTTGCATTCATAATGCATCTTGGGAACTTTCTCGTCAGCAAGGAAGGGTCGAGCCCTTTCCAGCCACTGCATTGCACTCTACAGGATGGACGTGGCCAGCTACCTGCCCCCCCTCACACGCTGCCACGGACAGCCCTCCCCCTGAGGGGAGTCTCCGGAGAAGTGATTTGCCCGCCCCCTGCCCCAGTGAGGACCCCAAGGAGCCTGGGCCGGCCCCTCCACTTGGTGACTCACGATGTTGGCGGCTCGCACGTGCATCTCATAATTGTCCTGCTCGCCCTGAGTGGCCCTGGACACCTGCGTCTCATCCTCAATCTGGAGGACAAACAAGAAAGCCTAGAGTGGCAGGTGCCTGGCCCACAGGTCCCTGCCGGCTGCAGCACACACACATCCCGCCCATCTCGCTTCCTGCGCGGGTGCTGCTACCCAGATCTAGGGCCGTGTTCAACTTCCCTCTCTCGTTCTGTTCTAAGGAGACAGCAGGCACCTTCGTCAGGACAGATGGACGCCTACACGCCGCTGGGTCTGGCACAGGAAGGTCTAGGTCAGGTCTTTCTGGGGTGTGGAGCCCTGTTCAGTACAGACTAGTGTCACCAGCTAGGACACTCAGTAAACTGGATGGATGAGTAAAAGGACAATGTGTCTTTTTAAGTGAATATTTACTGAGCACTTCCTGGGTGCTGGGCACCGTGTTAAGCCCTTGACCATCATCATCTTACAGAATTCTCACAGAGGCCTGGTCAGCCATCTCTGGTGTAGGTGGGAAAACCTGAGGCCGGGAAAGACCAGAGCGCCTACTAAATGTGTCAAGAGAGTAAATGCCTGACAGTAAATGATCCAGGCTATTAACTGCCCCAAGCCATCCACCTGGGGAGAGATTCCCCAGGGGGCCTTGCCAGGGTACAAGCTGGGGTCGGTACCCGAAGCGGTTAGGAGCCAGACTTCCTGGGTTCAAACCCTGGCTCTGCTAGTTATTAACAGCATGATCGTGGGCAAGTTACTAAACCTTGAGCCTCAGTTTCATCTTCTGAAAATGGAGAAGGCAGCGGCACCTGCTTCACACCATGTGAAGGTAAATGGGATAGGAGCCCTCCCAGCACGGGCTGACGTGTAGTGAACACGAAGCAGACGCTAGCTTTCGTCGTCATCCTCAGCATCGCTGCTCAAACAAGCCTTCCAAGGCTGCAGTGGTCACGCGATGACCCAGCCCCCCTGACCCCCATGCTGACTGCTCTCTCTACCTGGAGGGGCCTTCCCCAGCTTCTCCCCCTGACCACACTCACTGGCAATAGCAACGATGCCTGGGTCCCTGTCAGGCCCCGCAGTAGCCAGTTTACACAGATAAACTCATCCAGTCATCACAAGGACCCTATGGGGAAACTGAGGCACTGAGCAATCAAGTCCCATCCAAACCCACAGCTAGTTAAGTGGTGCTGGATGTTGAACTTGGCAGTTTGATTCGAGTCCCCTACAGACTCCTCACCAGGACCTGTAGTTAGCTGTTTTATCTACCTGTTGACCTGTGTGTTACTGCTGCTGTATCCCGACCACCTGGTACAGAGCACTCTTATACTGTTCACCACAGCAGCCCAATCTCTCAGCTCCCACTGGCCACATCTCCAGACCCGGCGCCTTCCCCTGGTCTCAGAAGGAGCAGGAGACTCATGGCCCCCACTTACCTTGGCGGTTTTGATGATCTCGGTGAAGTTGTCCATGATGGACTTGACATCGTCTTTGAGTCGTTTGTTGTAAGACTGCAGCAGTGTCTCCTTGCTCTGTGGCAGGGCTCTCTGCTGGGCCATGGTGGGGCCTTGGGCAGTGCCGGCGGCAAAGGCCTGGGGCCGCGAGTCGGCACCTGGAACCCAGAGTCTGGCGTGAGCACAGCCGACCCCAGCTGCCCACCCTCCATGCCTCCACCTCAGCAGACCGTGCAGCTCTCCCGGGATTCCCTTTCTGCCAAACAAACTCGTCCGATCTGTTCGCACACAGGTGCACTGGGGAGGGTTCACCCCCTCTCCGTAGGCGAGCTCGTCCTAGGACCGCTGACAAGCCCGCAATAATACCCTGCGGGGCTCCAGCCGACCTCCCCAAGGCCAGGCCCACGCACGTCCGCGACAGGCCTGCAGGAACTCACCACCTGCCCCCCGCCAGCCGCTTCCACGCTTCCATCCCTGTCCCACCCCTTCACCCAACGAGTCCTTCCGATTCTACCCCCACCGCCCGGCTCCACGCCCGGGTTCCGGGGCGCCGCCACACAAGGCTTCCGCCGCGCCGACGGCCTCTTCGCTCTGGGGTCTCGCCCGGACCACCCTCTCGCCCCGCGCTAACCCCAGCGCTCGGCCCGGGGCCTGGCGCACGGCCGAACCACCGAGCTCGCGGGCGTGGAGCCACTTTAGGGTAAACGCGCGGCGACCCTGCCCCAAGGCCCACACCTGGTCCGCAGGCCCCGGGGCCGGAGTGCACCTGGCCGGGGCCAGGTGGGGGACGAGTGGCCGCACGTCAAGAAGCCCAGGGTCCCCGGCGCGTCTCCCCGCCTGGAGGAGTCCGCCACCGTCTCCACGCCCCTTCCGGTCTCACAGACGCGCCTCCAGCTGTAGGCCACGCCCCGACGTGAGTTGCGGGCGAAAGGAGTCTTGCGGCTTTAAATCCGAAATCCCGCGCAGGCGCCAGTTCTCGCGATCTCCGAGGTCGCCTACATATTTCCCACAATCCCCTTTCCTTTCTCTCTCCTCCCGCTGCCCAAGATGGTGAGTAGAGAAGCAGTCCGTGGTACGGTCGCGGGGTCCGGGCTCTATCCGCTGCCATCCTTCCTGGGGCGCGGCTGCACGGGGGTTCCTCCACTGCCCGGCGCGAGGAGAGCCCCAAGGGGCCTGGCACAGAGGCACTGGGACGGGCTGGACTCCTGGCGGCTGGGCCGGTGGGGGAGTCTCCGGGAAGCGCCGCGCCGCAATGCGGGGCTTGGAGCATACGCTGCTGAGGAGCTCCGACACCCTGGGGGGCCCTCGCCGTCCTGGAGGCTGCCCGGGCGCCTTCGGCGTGGGGTCCTCAGTCCACCCCTGTTGCCTCTGGATCCAGACTCAAGGGGGCCCTTGTCCCCCGAAGGGTGCGTGGCTCTGGGACGGGGTCGGCCCCGGCTGTCCGCACCCTGGAGCTCCGAGCTCAGCCCTTGGGCGGCGCCGCGGAGCATCGTGGTTGCGTGGCCGTCAAGGCTCGTGCAGATGATGTGAAAGAATATTTGCTATCTGAGTGATGGTGAGGACATCCCTAACCACCAAGATCGCTGATGCACGAGCGGGGGTGCTTGCGGGGCTCGCGCCGCCGGGGCTGGAGACGGGGGCCAGTGTTTGCTCACAGGGACGGCTCGAGTCAGGGCTCACCGGCCCCCCTTGTCTGAAGGGAGCCAGCCCGAGCCCGTCCCTCTCAAAAGAAACCAATGGAGGACGAGGGGGCTTAACTGGGTTTCCTTTTTGCCCAGCCGAAAGGGAAGAAGGCGAAGGGGAAGAAGGTGGCGCCAGCCCCTGCTGTCGTGAAGAAGCAGGAGGCCAAGAAGGTGGTAAATCCTCTGTTTGAGAAAAGGCCCAAGAATTTCGGCATTGGTGAGTAAGGAAGGGGATTGCACGCGGCTGGGTTCCCAGCGAGAAATGGTGTTCATGTGCATCGTTACTCGCAGGTGTTAGTGGGTTTGGCGTGGGGGCTGCCTGGATTGGAATTCTCCGTTTGCTACTTTTTAGCTATAAGTTGGGCTCAGTTCTTAATCTCTCCTCTTGAGATGCGGGTGATGAAGTTACAGGGTTCACGGTCTCGTTGTAAGCGTCTGAGCATTTCGCTTGGTCAGATTCTGGCCTGTGGGGATCGGCTTGGCCATCACGAAACGAGCGCTCCCAGGCCAGAGGCACCCCGACTGCAGTGCTCTGTACCTTATCTGTGTGTTAAATCAGGAGAGGTATCC